TTTTTTAATACTGTAAACTACCGCTTACCAAAATAAATAACCAAAAAAAATCGAAAAAACTTTTTGCAAAAATTTTTCAGTCATTATTGTACTTAATGTCTTTTTTTTCACAAAATTTCACTCTTACTGTAGTGTATGGACCCGATAAGTGTTTTTTATTTTGTTTTCGAGTGCTCCAGTATTCAAGAATTATTCTTTTGATCGACTTGTTTTTGTAATTAAGAAATATAGAAAAATGTTTTTAAGTCTCTATACGAAGTGGTGCTTCCGCTTGTCAACGAATTTTTTTTTAAATTTTAATTTTGTTGGTTTTAGAAAAAAAATTTTAATGTACATTCTACGTCACAATTTTTTATAAATTTTAAATATTTTTGTAGTAAAGTCAAAAAATCAGGTATGTGGGAGGATGTAAAAGACAATTTTATACGATCTGCTAAAAAAAAATTGACATCTAATAAGCAGCTAAATTTATAGACCTCTCTACACATTCATTAAATAAATCCTTAGAGTAAGAGCTCAATAGTTCTTAACTACCTTCTTGATCATCGATATAGACATTCAAATGTAGAGATATATACCTACTCTTAGAACCCTCACTGAAGGGTTTTCACAGGTCTTTCAATCTCCTTTACTAAAAAAATATAATTTTATTTATTCCATCTACCCTAATTTCAATACGACTAGTATTACGAATAGTATCATACACAATGTTACTGACGTAAGAATGCTTTTAAGCCAATTAAATATATAATAAAAACAAACATCATATAAATACTTGGATCAAGCAAATGGAGAGATTTTATTGTTACACAGAGCTATGAGCTAATAGTGCATCAAAACTCTCGTACTACTCTTAGCGTGAAAAATTTCCTAAATGTGTGTACATTAGACAATTTATCATTTTTTTTGCGCAGGACGACTTGGAGGCGGAAGGTCTATACTATCCAAAAGTCGAGTTTTCTATGAGGAAACAGCGTACCGTCGAGCAGCATATTCCCTTTCCCTGCGATCTCCAGAACAGCAGGTAAGTTGACAGTCTGTGCGTTTGTTACAAAATGACACAAGGGCTTGCTGATTTTTTTGCATAACATTGATAAAATATAAAAGAAAGTATATTGATTTGGCAACAAGATTGAATCATCAAATAATAAAATCGAACTAAGTAATATTAACTTTTGACTGTTACAAAATGCAAACCTACCATGATACCTTGTAACATCACAAGTGTATGTTAAAACGCTATTTTAATCCGTTTAATTATAAAAATTTCTTAGCTTGATTTTGTTAATGTACGAGTACTTGACAGAACAAGTATAATGCAAAAAGTATGCTATACAAAAAAAACTTGACATTTAGATTTTGATTTGACTACTTTGCAAAGATGAAGGTTTATTTACGTGAATAGAATTTATTGTTACTGTAAAAAGGCTTCAGAAATTCTTAAAAAAAGATTATTTAAACATATTAAACTTATCTGCGCTTAAATATTTGTTAAACGGTAAATTTTATGGGTACATCATTACTTTTTAGGGAAATATGTATATTTATTGGAAGTGAGTAAAGTAAATCAATAAATCAAATACTGTTCATGTTATTAAGAATTACTGGATGTAGACAAACTTAATACTAGATTGATGTAATTTTTATATGCTTTATTTCGCTCTGTGCAATAATATGAATTAGTGCCATCATCAACAAGAAAAAATTGTTATACTAACTCACAAAACAAATGTCTTTTAAGAAAATCTTTGTTTTGCTATAAGTCGCAAAAAAAAGTTTTTTTATGGTTTAGAAGTAATACTTAACAACGAAAAATACTATTTTATTTGTTGGAGATACGTCAGTGTAGCAAAAAATTAACAAAGGTCATGGTCCATATAAAGTTACATTCTTGTGAATAACCATCACCCTTTATTCCCATACAGTTAGTGATATTCAAATCACTGCATAAGTTGAATAGTGCCAGTCAATTTATTATGAAACAATTTTGTACAAATAGTTCAAAATTATGTTAAAGTAAATACACTTTTTTGAAACATACAACCATCTTAGGACTTCTACTCTACGATGTGTGTGTATTTATTTTTCAATCAACTATTTTATCGAATGGTTCTCAGAACTGTTTTTTTTTTTCAAGTTGGTCTTACAAATTGAATCACCCTCTGTTTTGTATAGTTTTTAGTTAAAATATTTTGTAACTTTACGACATTTGACACGTTAGTATTTCTTTTATTTGATTTTATCATAACGTCTTTTTATAAATTAACAAAGTCCAAATAATTTTACTTATAGTCAAAAATAATTAAGTAGTTTCAGCAATTGATTATTTTTTTGTTACAAAAAACCTCGAAAGAAAATGAGTTCATGTTTAAGTCATCTGTCATCTTACATTTCATTTTTTTCTTTGAGCTATAAATTTTACTAAATGTAGGCTTGATTAATTATTTGAAGTGGTAAAAGTAAGAGTGAATACGTCTTTACCCAATAAAATAAGTATTTATTTAATAAATTGACTTCACTAGCTAAATAATTAAAAAGGTATTATTTGCTAATGTAGAAAACTTTAATCACTATCTTTAGATAGCTCATAATTAATTATTTATAATTGTTATTTATAAAAAAATCGAAAATTTTCCACAATTAATTCGTGTTATCACCTACAAAGACTATTCACTATGCGTATCTACGGTGCTACCCTCATTGTTATTAATTTCCTATGTTAAATCTTGTAGAGAAAAGTAGTGGAAGCGGCCGCCGTCGACAAAATTCTTTTATGTGTTAAAGTGACTAGTAGCGCTGAATGACAGGCGCATAAGGAATAGAAATCATACAAGTGACTTTGACTTTTAATAAACAATTATTTCATGTATTGATAACTAACCCGATACTGAACTTTGATACCGACCTAAAGTCTTTACGTTTAAGATACATGGAGTAGGTACTTAAATACTCATGAGAGTATACAGATTGTATTTTAGATGCTTGATAATTGTAAATATTTTAATTTGATGGTAGCACTGCTTTATTTTAAGAACACATTTAGCTACACTACATTGAAAAAAATTGGCTCGCAGCTAACTCAACGATAAGACCGCATCTGAACAAATCTTAAATTCAGCACTTTGCGATACTCGTGTTATTTTAATTGTTCTCACGACTTTTTGGCTTGCATATTTGTCGGTAAAGTTGTAGAATAGTCTAAGTAAAACCAAAATACTTATGCATACGTAAAAAAATATTTATTTTTCGCTATTTTAAAATTCGAGTACACCAATCTGAAGTTAACAGTACCGTAATTGCTGAGATCTTGATTGTTTGTCAAGTTGGAACTCCTGTGCTATTGAATAGATATATGAGAAATCCAATCCAAATTTGCCTTTACGCGTCCCAAAAAAAATTTAATTTTTTTTCAAGGCACATCTTTAAAATAAATTTTTTCTTGTTCTATGTACCCTTGACAGATTTCTTAAAAAAAAGACACTTGATGTTGTACAGAATTAAAACGAAAAGCTGGTTTACTAAGGCAGTACAAGTCCTTGCTCACACTGAATTTTCCAAAAAATGAATATTATAATCTTCTGTGCCATGAAAAACCGTGTCACAAAGCCTAAAGTTCATGTTCACGATTTTTGCCTTGTTATTAAGGGTACATAGAATAAGAAAAAATTTATTTTAAAGATGTGCCTTAAAAAAAAATTCAATTTTTTTTTGGGACGCGTAAAGGCAAATTTGGATTGGATTTCCTCATATATGGGTAATTCTGCTGTAACTTTCTCAGATCGTGCCCAGTACTCATACTCACGTGCCGTAATGAAATCCAAAACTTTAAAAACGTTAAATTGTGTTAAATGTTGTCGACTTTTCTTACATATTGTCTTATACCGATATATTGATCCCATCATTGAGATAATAAATCATTTAGAGTCATATTCTCCATTCCAACCCATGTCCACAACTCAATTTCACTCATAAAAACTTTCACCGATAAAAAAAAAGGCTTATATGCCAGTTGGGTGTGTAAGCATTATGTACTCTAGCTATTGGGAGTTAGATTTGTACCTTAGTCACACCAAAAATCGACAAAAACGAGTGAGTTTTCACTGCATACATTTTGTCTGCATATTTGCACCATAATCGAGGTTTTAACAAAAATCAGTTTAAATTAGTTTGACTAGAAATGCTAACCAATAGTCACTTTCCAAAGTATAGGACTAAAATGAATAAATCCTTACGATAGTAGTGCCAGAAGTATTTATCTCTCGAATAGCCAAGCTCGTCATTTTGCGTATTTCGTGCGTACAAACATTTCATTCCATTCCGAGCCTCATGGAACAACCAATCGGTGTGTATGTGCAGGTACGCAAACTACAGTTTCTTTTATTGCATTTGAGGCTAGTAAATAAAGTATGGGTCGACAAGTCATTGTAATACATCTATGAGTCGTACGAGCACTACAAACATTGAAAATTCCATTCCAAACTTTTCCATTCTAACCCTACCTCATCTCAAAGAGCCGTTTTTTTCGTTTTCGAGCAACTAATCCCAGCCATACTTTTTTTTCATCACTGTTGGGCTAAAAGACGAGACATATGTCTGGGGGTTTCGTCTAATTGACCTTTTTTCGCTACCTAAATGAAAAAACGGTGGTGCACTGGTGCTGCTTCCAACGTTAGTATAGTAGCCAAGTGGTGCACTATATTAGGTGGCTTTATCTGGGCTTAAATGAAAGCAAAAACATAGTTCTTATGATTAAAACAAAAATCTTTAAATTTTATGCCCCCAATATAAAATTTCGTACAACTTTTGATCAGAAAATTTTGTAGTTGCAGTGCTTTAGACATTTGTTACTAATGTTGTGCACAGTAGAAATCTCATGAAAAACTTTTTTTGAACCAACTTCTTTTTAAATAATTTTTCAAGTGGATCTGAGTATAAGTTACGGCAGAATTACCCATACATAGGTGTATACTCCCGAATTCAAAAAATCTTAAAGTATTTGTTATAATTGGATTAGGGACTGATCAGTTGTATGGATCCTGCGTGGATCAGTCTTGGGGACAGTTGCTGATCAGTTTTGGATACCTAAAGTCATGTAGATAGTGAAGTCTGCTGCTCGCTATTAATACGTATGTTGTCTTATCGTATAATATAAGTTTCTTTTGATTGTCATACTGAATTATTGTAAAATAAATTAGTAAAATAACATAGCCTTAATGCAATTTGTGAGTTTGTAATGATAATTTTTTTGGTGATTTAGTTTGTTTGGTAAAATTAATACTGCAAGAAATTGTATGATTTTAGTATACATACAAGAATACAGTACAATATGATTAATAATGCTTTCAAGCCGAGCAGACGAGATGGCCTCGGCATTGCCGATAAGTGGAGACATCGTGAAATACGAAGTACTAGCCCTAAATTTACTAATTGGGAATTTCGAAATACATACTGTAATCGTCGATAGTCCTGATATATGTATACTTATAGAGTTACTGTACTTCTTTACTCTGTAGAATCTGTGACATCCAAAATATATTTTGGATATACGGATTCAGATGCGCAGTTGACAGTAGGTACAGATAAGAGGGCTATATGTCACTGCACATATGTTAAATGTTTACTTATACAGAATCAAAAAGTAAAGTAGCGCTATGTTTGTAAACATTTTTTTGAATTGTTATCGTATGTAAATCGAAAACGTACGTCCATCGCTAGAATGTCTTTTAGTTATCAGTTGTCCAAAATGATATCTGTTGTCGAAATCACATCAATTCAATGGAAATAAGATATAAATTTCCCATCCTCATACGATATCAGTTTCGAAATTGTTTTGCAAGATATCAAAACTCCCGATGCAATACATATTTTGAGATTCTCGATGCACAATTAGTACTTTGTGTACTAACATGTTGCAACTTATTTAGATGAAGCGAAGCTGTATCCAGGCCTTGGCTATAGGCCCTATTTAGTATATGTAGATTAATTGAAAGTTGCAATGATTTACAAATGCCAATTCCGACTTTATTGTTAAAGTAAATGTAAAAAAATTGCTGATTTGGTCCTAATTCCGAAAAAAAGGAAAATAAGTTCTGAAATCATTTAATTTCCAAATGAGGACCCATAATGTTAAATAATTGGAGTACTAACTCAGGAAATCGAATAACAAAGATAATGGACCCTTGTTCGATCGAATTTGATGTTGTCGTTATTGTAAAATAAATAACTATATCTAAATTTGCGATTTGTTACTGGTAGAACCGAAGTCAAACGGTAGAAAACTAATCGATAGCAGCAATGTTATTGCATAAGCTTTTAGATGAAAATTCGCTTATTTAATAGGACCAAATAACGTAAATAAAGCTTTTTTGCTTCACGTATAAAAAAAGGAAAAATAAATTTAAAAAACGTATAACTTTTCAATTGGCTGTCTAATGTGCCAAAAGTTTTCGTACATTACGCGAAATTAGACGAGGAAGCTAACAAGTTACGTTTAATCAACATAAATGATGTAGTATATTTCAATTAACAATAATTGTAAATTTACCTACCGTTATTGACACAGCTCGTGATGTAGCGTCTTGTATAATTATATATAAGCTGTGTCGATAACCATAAGTAAATTTACATCAATTGTTAACTTGAAAAACTACAGTATACATTTTGATCAGACGCAGCTCATTAGCTTAATTTTTTTTAATATGCATTAGGTGCGATTATTTTACAGAAACACTTCTTATTGTTCATACTAGTAGTTTTTCACAGTCTTACCAAGAAGTCATTATTATTAGTGTCGTAAATTTTTTAATTTACTGCAAAATCAAACAGATTTTTCAATACAATTTAATTCAACCACAAAATTTTTTTGTATTTCTTATGATGATTATGTATGAACTAAAAAAGTAACTACTTGTCAGTGAAATATTTGACTATATTTGTACAAAAATGATGGGTATGTAATGCATCTACATTGTTTTTTTACAAGCTCTTTAACTTGCTTTGTTTTCTTTTTTTACAAGTTTTTATTGATTATCTGAAAAATTTTTAAAAACTATATTCAATAGTAAACTGAGATGAAAAAAGTAATGAAATATACTAAGGTTTCTATCATCCGAATATTCTGGAAAAAAGCTGAGACGAGTAAAAATAAAAAAATAAAAAGTTTTCTACAATGCATGGGTTGTCATTCACCTTTGAAGTATCTAATGTTCTTAAAAGTTTTAATGACTCTGCACTATCCATAGATCATCGTTGCCACCTACAAATGTTAATCAAGTCAGACCTGGTGACATTGACGTAATCGGCGCAATAGGTGATTCTCTGGTGGCAGGAAGCGGGGCCTTAGAAGAGTTTGCCATTGGTACATTTATTGAGGCTCGAGGGGTCAGCTGGTGCATCGGTGGTCAAGACACTTGGAGAAAATATCTTACGGTTCCGAATATTCTAAAGGTACAATACTTTGTCCATACGAATTTCTTCAAAGTCTTTCTTTTGTTATTGTAAATGGCGTTTTAATGTAAAAATCTTACACAATACAAACTATAGTTATTTTTATCAATTTTTTGTAACAATTATGAATTACTATATTTTTATATGAATAATATCTTATTTTATTAAAGGTATTTAAGCCAATTAACGTCTTGTTTCAGGCACTTCAATTAATTTGAACTTTAAATAAAATTATTTGGGTCTTCAGAAGAACTTATAATAAATTGTTGGTGTTTTTAATTGAAAATAAAATGTTTGAGAGTGTTGACATATTACGTTAGTTTTGTAATAGAAGTAGTTTTATTTAGTTAAAAAGAAGCTTTAGTTCCGTTTTCACAGTTTTTTTATCTTACTCTCAAGTTTGTATCCTTTAAAACTAGTTTTCATTTGTTTTCTTAATTATTTCTTAATTAACTTCTTTATGACTTTTAAAACCTTGAGAGCTTTGTAATAAAGCATCTTTAAAAAGATTCAAATAAAAAGATTCCACATGATTTATAATTTCGTTTTGAATAAATTAATTCACATCTTAAATTAAAATTTGAATAAATTCTCTACGACTTTTTCTGTGGATGTAGTCATAAATATAATTATTGTAATCGATACTTCGTATATACATATATATATATTACAGAGTTATCATTTCTTATAATTTATTCATGAAAATATCAAGTAGTACACGCATCAAATGTTTTATTTTTTTTTTTTGTTACATTAATGTGTATACGGAAGTATGACTTTCTGTGTTGTATTCAGGATACGATTTCGTTTGTCGTTATGTGACTAAGAGTTCTTGGAATTTGTTCAGCTAAAATTAAAAAAAAAATCTTATAAAAAAAAAAAGAACTTGTGCAAGCTTGATCATGAATGTTCAAACTTTTTTTTCCACCACTCCTTTATATGATATAGGTTTATCCATTATTAGGGTATGATTAATCTCTCTTCAGAATGTTTTGTTGCAGAAAAATGAGCTTACTGTCAACAAAGTTTTTGTAAGCTCGATAATATAGTTTTAAGCTAATACATGGCCAAAACTAGTTTTGCGCGTTATACGGTGGTTCTAAATTAATTACATTTCTGTGTGAAATGATAGACCTCTTAAATAAGGTACAGCAGTTAAAAATACTAGGGCCATGTATTATTCATATTATAATATAAAAACCAGAGAAACTTTTATCATGATGTAGGTCAAGTAAAAAATGATTGATTTTCTGTAACATAAATAGTAGTTCATAAAAATATACTAATGGTTAAAGAAGTTTTTCAAAAACATAAAAGAAAAAAGATGTTTGACATACTGTTTGATCACATCAATAATGGTTTTGTCATTAATAATGATACGTACGACACAAAATATGTAAAAGAAGGGCTTAAACCTCAACGAATAAGCTCACATAAACTTTTATAATGTTTTTATGCTTTTTTAATGTGAGCAGTCTCTCTAAATTTTCTGCTTCTAATCTTGGTACTAAAATTCATATAGTATCTAATTTAAATAGTATAATGTAACTATTATAATATGTTGTGTCTATGCCTTACCAATTCAAAAAATCGTTGTTTTCACAATAAAATACGAGTAAGAAAAATTATAAAATATTGAATTATAAGCGAAACATGTAATGGTTACAACCCATTAGTATTATTTGATTTATTAATTAATTTTTTTTTGTACATAAGGAATTCAATCCAAGACTGACAGGCTATTCAACTGGCACTGGGGAATTTATTTCTCGCAAGGCACGCCTGAACATTGCCTATCCAGTGGCTGCAACCGAGGATGCACTTCATCAAGTAAAAATCCTCATGCAGAGGATGAGAAGCGATCCTAGCATCGATATTTACCAACATTGGAAGGTTTGTTTTTTTATACACTCATAATCATATCGCCCATTCTTTTGAAACTTACGGAGTTAGAATTTCTAAGAATTGTATATCTAGATTTTATAGATTTGTAATTTTTGATATCACCTGTATGTGAATGATACTATTTCTCTTTAACTTGTTGGAAAGATAAAATAATCATGTAATAGTTAATACTTTTAATAACTGTTTAAGACTTACCTTAGGTCTTTAAGGGTCTAATCAAATAAGTTTCGTAGTGTTATTGAATATATATGTCAAAATATACCGTCCTGGAGCAACGAAAAGGGTTTCAACAGTGCTCATACTCACCGTCTTAATTTGATATATCCAAATTGGTCCTTACCATGTCATAAATTCTCACCTTCAGAAGAGCTACTGTAAGGAGAACGCAGCAGCACAACTAATTTAAGCTCTGGTTGTGTCATAACTATTTAACACGACTGGCAAATTGATTCCCGTATAAAGATATCACTAATAAACACGCGGTCAAATTGGTTCCTAAGACCCTGAGGTGCATTGTCAAATTAGTTCCCAGCTATTAAATTCTTATTCAGAGGTACATATGTTATATTTTTCTCGTCATACTTTATCCAGGCTTCGGGCTGACAGTCGTTTGAACGCTGGCATGTTTGAACATCTATTAGTGTAAGCAAGCTAGATGAAAATTACTTTATTTCATAAAAATCCAGACTGGGACAAAAAAAGCTTCTTTGTATAGATCTTTAGCCTGACAAAAAACATAACAACTTTCAGACAAAACAAATCAGCAATACGATCACTTAGTCCAGAACCAAGCTATAGATAAAAGTGTAGAAGTGTGATCAAGTATTATGAAAATTAAATTTCTGCGCTACTGCGTTATCCTTACTGTAGCACTTACTAGGCCAAGAATTTTAGGTGTCTCTTGGCCATTTTCATTGGATCTCGTAAGGACAAAGAGAATGAGCCCTGTTGGAACCTATTTCGTCGTTTCTAGATGCTGTGACCTACTGAAAAAACCTTTACAATTTTTGGTACCCCAAATTTTTTTTTTTTTTATTTAGTTTTTTTTACATGGATTTTAACATATTCATACATCTAACATAAAAGAAGTAGAAGGATTCGCTAAAGATAATATAAAAAAAAAAAAAAAAAAAGAAATAACGTAACAACTTTGATTTTCGTCACTGTTGCTGCAACATGCAACGTTTTTGTATGAGAAAGAATTCCTAATGCGTAAGAATAACCTTAAAAAAATGTCCATACTTATGCAGTGAGTTACAATTAAGCAAACCATTTAAGGATGCTCATACCTTTGGTAAGTTGAGCTCCTATGAGATGAAATTTATATGTATGATTAAGCATATTGTCAGGGTTATACATTTATTTATGTAAACATTTTTTATCGAGCGGTCTTTCTATCAGCAAAAAAATAAAGTTATCAATTGCAGCATAAGCATCCATAGCTAAATGTTTTTTTCGTACTTATTGAAAAAAGAAAAAAAAATTAAAACACTTATAACAGAGTACCGAAATAATAAAAACTAATGCCCTAAGAACCCTAGTGCACATCATAAAAAAAATTTAATAGCTTATGCTATAAATACTTCTAAGAAATGAAATATCTTCTGCTGTTAAAGCATGCTTATCCTGTACCTATGGCATAATGAATTTTTATGAGATGGATAGTAAAAAGTTCCCTACTCAATATCTCTATACAAAATTTTGCAATTAGATTTGAAAATTATCAACAATTGATGACTCACTAAAAAAGCAAAAGTATTAACTTCAAAATTTTTAATAGTATTTTACTCACAAATTTAAGTAAAACAGGAAGTTAAACATGGTTTCACTCATTCAATGCTCAATTAGATACAGAATAAGATATGAGCCTCCTTAAATCAGTCGACGCAAGATTTTATTTTTCCATAAGAAATTTCACGTTGGCTATGTAATTTCAGATGATAACGATATTTTTCGGTGCAAACGATGTTTGTTCAGCGCAGTGTTATAATCCAACAGAATTTTCCCCCGTAAGATATGCTATACACTTGCGGAGAGCTTTGGACTACTTGAGAGCAGCGTCACCCCGTACCATTGTTAATTTGGTTCCTGCAATAGGTAAACATTTTCATCGCATGAAAAAACTATTTTTATTTGAAAAAAAAAACTCATTCTTCATTCTACATTTTTTATCTATATACATTTACAATATTTTAACATTTGAACTCTCTTACAAAACGAACCATGTTTTGAAATTTTTGGTTGAACCGCAGTAACAAAATTATCATGTAATATTAAACTAAATTAACTCAAATTCATTTCAATTTATAGATAATACACATCACATAATATATAAATATTTTTTATCTAATTAATATCTTTAAATACATAATTTTTGTTATAACATGCTGATTCTTATTTTCCTATTCTCTATGCGTGACTAACATTTATCTTTTTAAGCACGACCAATGTATGGGAGGGATATAATTTTGTTAGAGCAAATAATATACACACTTATGAATTGTCTATATTAATTACAAAACTAATCTGAGTTGGTCACATGGTAGCCGAAAATTTGAAGCACTGAGCAAGCTCAAATTAAGGCAATTAATGAATTACGGTGATGGGATTTTCTGCATTCAATTCGTGATGATGTCAAGAAACTTTGTAAAGATAATTATCGATGTTATTTTAAATGAATAAATTTTTGCAATAAAAACATTGATTTTATAAAAGGCAATGAATAACAATTTTACAATTTGGTCAACTATATAAGTCCAATTTTGTTATTTGGGGCTTTGAGGGTCACTGAACACGGCGACGGCCTCCGAGGCACATGATGACTGCAATCTTTTTTGCAAGCATGTGATAAAGCGTTTACCAGGCCCCTAGATGTAAATATTTGTCCACACCTTGCGCATTCCCCTGTATTTCCCCGACGCTATACTCCACACTAGCCACTCTCGTACATTCTTTCACCTTTAGAACAATACAACTCTATATTTAATTCGACGTCGGTCGTTACAAGCTAATTCGTACATTTCGCGTTCCTTATCATGAATTATATATTTCCACGATCTTCTTTTCGATGTCCTGGTAACCGGCGCCGTATGATTCCTCGTCGCTGTCTCCTTTCCTCTCGTCTCACCCAAAATCAAATCAGACACACAATGGCATTGGCGAAAAAGAAAAAAAAAAAAAAAAAGAACGTTGGCACGTTTTGCGATCGGAGAAGAAAAAGTGATTCCGTCACAAGCACAAAAAATTAGTTGTGAAATACTGGATGGTCCAGGGGGTTGCGTCATTCTGGTAAAAACTAAAGATTTATTCGTACGTTTCCATCCCCAGTCTGCAGGATTTAGATTTTCATTCTCTCTATATAGCTAACTTGCTACCTGCAGATAATCTTCCCGAGTAAAGATTACCTTACCAAGCATAACTTTTCGATTTTTGGACCCAGCTATTAAATACTTTCCGTGTCTATATGTATTAATCAACTGATTCCTGCTTGCCTTTAGTTCATTGGATGTATTTGGTTTTCTTAAACTGAGAGGAGCATTATGCATGGCTAAGATTAATTGACTGCCATGTTCAAACAGAACGATGAACATCGCCGACTGCATAGTAACTCCTGCTCAGCGACTATCACGATCCCCGAGTAAATATTTTTGTTTGGTATTTAATGAATGGAAAGCAAAAGTCCAGGGAACGACGTGTTTGACGGCCATCCAGGGCCTCAGGCGCCTGACAGGCCATCGCCGACTGCATAATCGTATTCAGCGACCCTTCAAACCCCCAGTTTCCAAAATTAGACTTATTTTTGTTATAATTGACTAAGTTGTAAACTTGTTATTTATTTCCTCTAAGAGTTGCTTTTCTTAAATCAAAAATTTTATTGCAAACATTTATTTATTCAAAATTCATTAATAACACTTTTCACAAGGTTTTGCACGGCATAACGAATCGACTGCCAAAAATTCCATCGTAATTTATCTTACTATAACTATTAACGCCAATTTGAGCTTGTTTGGCGTAATTTTGTGCTTTACTTCTTTGACTATAGTGTATGTATATGGATGAATGCATGTGCGTTATGAAGTTTATCGGCCGACTCAATAGAAGTAATTATGATCCAAATAAACTGAAATTTCGTAGGTCGCTTTTAGTTAGGTATCTAAGTTGATGGCTCAAATAAAGACAAGTTCCATTGAAAGTAAAAATTTCAACAGCATTTTCAGTGCAGCGCTTTAAGGCAAGAAAAATCAGTTTTTCAGCGACAATTGTTTCACATACATTTCACACGTCCGCGATCAAAGATAGAATTGTAAATTTCATAAAAATACAACTTTTTTGTTTCATATGTTTTGTTCCAGTTTGCAATGCAGACGCTATTTACTAAAAAATAAATATGAAAACTGCGAAAATAAAAAAACGTCTTTTGTCTATTACAGAAATAATGTCAAATACTACGACAAAGTCTTAAATACGAAAGTTGTGGTAGAACTCATTCAGAACTCATTTCAGATAGCTGAAAAAGCGTTTTGTTCCATGTAAATTTGTTATTTTAGATTTGAAGGTACAATATTTATATTAAAACTCAGCTGAATATAATAACAGAATAAACTTAATTTGGAATCCTTTTATTTAAATAACACTTTTTGCTCTGGCACCTAGTAGATTGGTCGTGCTTCATATGCTAAAAAAATTTTTAAACCGTTAGTTGTTTTGACCTTTTCTTGGTTTTTGAATGCTTTGATTTTATTCTCTTTTTTAACCCTGCCCATACTTTTCTTTGTTGTTCTTTTACTTCCTCATCCTATTCTATATATACTATAATTGTCTCTTCTCACCTTTTTTTGTCATACCCAATTGCTTCTCTCCAACATTAAAAATTTTTTGCATATGAACTCATTTTACATTTCTGGCTTATTCTTCTCTTACATTAAAAAAAATTTCGTCCCACTCTTTATTGTTGAAGTTATACTTTTATAGGCGCATTATGTACGAGAGTAAATCAGCGCTTTCAAAATTTCCACTCTCCGAAAATTTGTGACAGAAGTGAATTTTTACAGCCTGTTGTATGTATCCAAAACAACTGTTTGTTTATTTTCATTTTTTTTTTCAAAACGTTTTCATCTTTATTTCATCATTGGTTTGTTTATATAAAGTTCTATGGATAAATTGTTTAATTTTTTATTATGTTTTATCGTTGTTAAATACGCGAATAAGATTAAGTATGTAAGTATTTGTAACAGATACGAGGGGATAGGAAGTTATTTTAAAATAATCGGAAGTTTCGATGAAAATGCGGGCAGTCTCCTACTGATTACATTAAATGTTAATATATTTATTGGAACCCCACCCAATCACTGGGAATCTCAATTTTAAGGATAATTACACCACATTCGATACACCAAAATAGGTAAAGGTCATTTGAAGCTTTCAAGATTCTCGTGTCCATTTGTTTTTTGTTTCTTTTCCCTGCATTCAATGGGATTTTAAAGTATGCTAAAGAAGTTGTCAGTTTAGGTTAGTACAATCCAGTCTACGTAAGTCTTTGTACAAGCAACCACCTAGATCGAAGAATCGGCCAAGGAAAGGCTTTTCTTCATTAAAAACGTTGTACCTTCATACTGCAAGTTAGAACTAATCGTTACATTAGGTGCAAGTATCCTTTAGAAACTCACCAATGAGATTTCGCAGTTTTTTGCTTTATAATTAAATGTAACATGTAGATAAGCTCTAGAAAGAAGGACTTTCTAACAAAACATTTCACATCTTTCAAATACGATAAATCTTGTGCTTGCAGCTTTGCGAAAAGTAGTATTTTTGATAGAACAAAAATATTTACTTCAAAGATGTACTGGAGTAATCAGTTAAATCAAGTCTAAATTCTCGTATCTAAAGACAGTTATCGAAAATTATTTTTGCACTACTTATATGTAAATATCAAAATATGGTTTAGTGCATAGAATATGGTAATTGAATTGTTGATGGTATTTAAACAAATGTATTAACTTATAGGTAAGTTTCACTTTTTTTATCGTATTTTTAATTTCCTCGTACATTTTACCTGATTTCACTAAATTATTATAACTGAGAATGAGAAAGTAGTATTGTAAATATTTTTCTACATTGATGAAGGCATTTTATTAAACAGTGAAGTAAAGTTCTTCAAATTTTCCAGCTCAACATGTATTATACACTAGCGGCCCCCCGTCTCGGCTTCGCCCGAGACTTGCTAAATGGAACACCGTCGTGTGTTAACATGTTATGTGAAACGTTGTCAGTTAGAAATTTTACATCTATTCCTGACACTTCTCAGAACAAAAATCTTCTTATTAAGAACATATTTGTTCGGAATCCATACAGTTTATTTGGTGAAATAATAAGCTGTAAAAAATAAAAAAAAAAAATAATTATGCTGAAAAGTACTGTGCATTCCTTATGCCATAAAATAATCGTTGGCCCTAAAGGGCTGTTGATTTGCAGTTTTTCCCGTAAAATCTACGAAAAGGGCTATTTTGTAAAGCTGTTATAGATTTAAAACTCCCAAAAAAAATATTTAAAAAAAAATTTTTTTCTCTTATCTCACAACTTTATTATCAGAGCAACAAAGTCCTGGAGCTTCGTCTCTACATTTTTGATCACCACAAAAATAATAATACATATTCTACCTTTTTAAAAATCTGGAAGATTTAAGAGATTACTATGAGGGTACTGATTAAAAAGTTTATCCCTTACGCAATGGATTCTGTATTAGTCAATTTTGACGCTGCTGTTTCAATTTCGATAAATGTTCTGCGTCAGTTTCTTGACGCCTGAAATTGTATTTATCAGATACATTTGAAGTTTTTCTTTTAAATCGCCCTCTTGCGACTTTTGGCATGGTTAAGACTTTTGTGAGCTCTAAAGGCTGTTTTCTGTTAACTTTGTTAAGTTCTAATATATTTGTTGGCAAGGTAGTTCGACGTCCAGTGGCGCTAAAAAGGACCGGTGAGTTTCTTAAGTAAACTCTTTTTTGACTAAAGTTTCCAGCAAACGTGACCACCTGGATATCTCAGGGTGATTTTCTCTGGTATGCTGTTGAAGCCCTAGACTAATTGGAAGATCATAGTTAACATAATCTTTTAGTCGACGAATCGCTTCCGGAAATGGTAATAAAAATGTATTTGTTGGCAAGGTAATGTACAATTAAGTGGCCCTTAAAAAAATCAATGAGATTGATGGTTAAGTAGAGAACGTAGGAACTTATAATGGCCCTGAAAAGGGCCAGTGGTGAAACTTCTAGCTATTCCTTATTGTTAATCTTGATGATGAAGAGCTGGCTGCAGGTAGCTTGACTCTTACCCTCGAAGTCTCTGTGTACGCAGACCGTGATGGAGGGAGGAACACCGCTGACCAAAGAATATTTCGTCTTCAGGTCGTTCCCCGGATAACCAATCGCTCATCGTTAGTCGGGAAAGTGGGCCTAGTGAATACCTTCTCTGTGGGTATGCCATTGGGGTGACTACTGAGAAGGAAGCCGTTGTGGCTGCCCGTGCTCCTCAGGTCTGTCTTCCCTGGCTTGCATTTGTAGTATAAAATTCTCTGACGGCACTAGGCCGGATTGTAGAATGGCCACATAATTCTGAAGTGTTGGAGCAGGTTGTATTCTGGCTAGATAAGGTAAAGGCACTAGTTACTGGCCGCGACCAGAACCTGGCCACTTTAAAAAATAATTTTGAAAAAGTGGTGGCCTAGTACTAGAGCACTTGTACAAAAAATGTGTACATAACCTCACTTCTGCAAGCACTAGTAGCCGACCACCTCGATTTATGTACATTTAGCATGATGTGGCCAGTTACTGGCTCTTAAATTTCGGTCACTAAAGCAACCTTTTTTTTCAGTGGCCATGTACTAAAGCATCTGACACACTCAGAGTATTATAAATTATTATTGCCTACGATCGCATATACGACTTCTATTTATCGTATAGTTTAAAATATATTTATAGCTTTCAAATGATACCTAACAGAAGTTAAAGTTTTAAAAGCTGTTTAAAATATATGATGTTATTTTGATAATAGCTACTAAGTGGCCAGTAACTAGTACTTTTACCTTACGTCTCCTGGTATTTCACCGGGGACGGTATCGGTTAGAATGTTTTTTTATTGGTGGCACTCACCAATCCTGTAGGTTCAGGATTGACGTAGACCTATTCCACTTGCCCATTAGAGAAGCGTGTTGTCGGTAACCGGGATATCCACCTGTACAACTAACATCAACCGTCTTGATGCAGCTTGATGTACTGCCAGTGGTTGACAGTGAAAGTTTCCGTGACGCTCCGGCATATTATAACCATACTTATTTAATTCTATTGCAGGTAGCCTCGATTTTATGTCGACGCCCACTTGGCGGATCCTACTGAACTGAAGTGAAAAGCCAGCGTATTTTTGCACAACTTTAAGCTCATTTATTGCTATTGTTATTAACTTATGCAAGATAAAAACTATACTGAAATCAGTGTCAAGAATCAATATGCAAAATTTCAGCAAGATCGGTTGAGTAGTTTTTGTGGTTAGCGATTACAACGGTTTTAGCGACGTTGATTATATATCAGTAAGATAAGATAAAATCTATTTTCTTCCAATTTTATTTTGTATATCTCTACTACTCTAAAAAATATTTTAATCTCATTGTATTATCAACTTGTAGTTTTTTCAATAATTAAATTATTTATAAGAATAATGAATAACTAAAACTACTTCTTCAGTTTTGAAACAGCAAAAATTTTCTACTAATGTTAAATTGGATGGTTTGGCCACACAGTAAGAAATATATGATCATATTTTTAATATTTTACTTTCTGAATTCATTTTTCTTGAATGAAGAGCACCACGGTAGGAAGTTAAGAATGGTTGGATCTCACATTTTTGACCCTCGGTTTTTCTTCTAATGACAGTACACACGAGATCCGGAAACATTTTTTACTTAACCGCCTTAACATGATGGAAGAGATATCTACAAGGTGTATTATTTTCGACCAAAATGATTAGCCAATGACAGTGTTGGAAAAAGCACCCTTCCATATTAAATTTCATACCAATCGTTATCAAGAGAAGTTTTGAAATAAAAAAAATTAAAAAGTTTGAACTTCTTAAACTTTCTATGGAATTCGAAAATTAGTCCACAGTATCGATTTGCTTATTAATATAGATTACGTGCTGTTTATCTTTTATTATCAAGCAAGTGAAAATATCGTTTATCGTTTCTTGAATATATAGTTTTTAATCGTATTTCTCGAGTGCTCGATGATGATTGGTAAAAATTCAATATAGAGGGCAGCTAATTCCAGTGCTGTGATTGGCTGATGATTTTAGTCGAAAAGTACATACCTTGATAGTTATCCCTTACACCATGCGCTCCAGGTGTGTACATAGCTATAAGTATAAAATCTATCATGCATCAAAATTTGCGCTACTACATACAGTTTTATATTGTCGCTTATCTGTTCTGTACTTACTACTCCGTCGTCCCTTCCTATAATTTCTTTTTTTTACAATTTTTCTCTATCCTTTCCAACACTCTAGCTCTATACCATTTTGTACTCTTTTGTACTTAATGCCAAATGTAAAAGCATTTTTTTACTGTTCTGATTGTGTACATATTCATTATATTCCAGGAAACCATATTTAATTTTTGCTATGTTTATTTTTAATAATATGAATGACATGTAAGTAATTTTTTTTTGTTCAAGCTTTCTTTTTTCTTTTATCTGTTCATACCAAACATTCAGAAATTTTACTTATAATTAACTTGTATCCACTTCCTCTCCTTTCTTGCCTTTTTCTTCCATTAAATCTCTAATCTATTTCATACCTTCTTTTCCTCTTTTTGTGTAATCACTATCCAGTTTTGCATCGTTTATTTTTGCGTTCTTTAATTTTTCGTGATTACCGTTTTATTTAATAATAACTTTATTTTTACCTCTAACCCTCCCCCTAACGCTAGAATGCTTTTGATTTTTGCTTCCACCTGTTAACTGGCTCCGAAAAAGTGTACTTTGAGTGTTGGCTACTTTTCTAAAGTTGGTTGTTTAGACTTTTCTTGTTTGTTATCGGCTGTTATTTTTCTAGCTTAAGCTAACTTTCTTTAATTCACCATCTTTCCGTTCCTCTGTATTTCTATTGAATCAACACACCTTTGCACTCGGGAATACTTCCAGATCTTCCTTAATACGTCTTCCTCACTTTAACGTGGACTTATGATTACTTGTGTCTAATTGCTAAAGCACCACTATAACCTCTATTATTAGCTTTAAAAAATGTCATTGCGTCAAAAAAATAATTTTAATTATTTAACAAGTTAACAATGGAGCATGTCACAAAAGTTGAAGTTAGAAACACTTTTAGCAAATTATACATCATTTAAATATCTTAATGAAAAATCGTTATAGTAATATTTTCAAACGTAATAAATCAGTGTTCATTTTAGCTTACTGAAAAAAGGGCAGTGATGAATGATTTAGGATTCAATTTCTTTTTTTTGGTTCGTAGATTACGTGAGATTCTATGACGCAATGCATTTTTTGAACTGTAAAAATTAAAAAAAAAAGTACTAATAACATTCTTACCCTTAATGATTAAAGTGTAATGGATTGTGATAAAACGTATTTCACAAAAAAGGTTGATTTTAGATGTAACTGTGTCAGTTCGAGTACCAAATCGCAGTATAATGTGCAGCGTTTTGCACCCTCTATATTGCGCTTGCATGCACCGAGGGAGTCAACCAGATATTACGGCATCTAAGATGTCCCACATGTATCAACAAGCCGCTGAAGCTCTAGTTGCCTCTGGAAGGTAAATAACTGATCAGCAAAGTGAAAGAACTGGTAAAATCGTTTCTATTTATTTGAAGAATAATAATTTTTTTTTGTAGATACGATAACAACGATGATTTTACTGTGATTCTCCAACCATTCATTAAGCTTTTCAATGCTCCAAATGCTAATCCAAGAAAAGCATCGCCAATCGACTCAACTCTAGTCACACACGATTGTTTCCACTTTAGCCAAAAAGGGCATGCACTAGGTGAGGTAGCTTACTTTATTAATCATTACAATTAAAATCAGCAGTTCTCATTAATGTGTATTATGAAAGATGTACGCAGAACGTGAGAGAGAAATAATATTACGTTTTCTATTTCTGAAAATAACTTTGTTTAAATAGGTGCAGAGACTAACTATATACATATCACTTAGTATTTTTATAGCTGTACTTATTGGTCGAGAAGACAAGCTCATCACAACTTTAGTCCTATAAACATAAAAAAACTACTTGTGATAAAATCCATTGCCACAAAACTTTTTTTTCTATTATTCATCATTTCTGCAAGAGCTTTTTTGTTTTATAATAACTGTTTTATCAATTTCATTAGAAACCCTAGACACATTACTGTCATTGACTTCTTTAAACATGAAAATGCAGGGATTGAATACAGTCACTGGACCATTAGCTCATCCCTTTGTCATTTTACGTGCATTGTCAGAAATATGAGAAATTATAAATAAATGCTCATGCTTTACTCATGGCAAAGTTAAAGCAATATAAGCTTTCAAAAATTTACAGTAAAAGTGACTGCGTTATTCTTTACTGAAGTTAAGACAACAGCGACTTGTCAAATTGGTTCTTCCTTTAATGTTTATTCAAGAGGAATGTATCATTTACAGCTCGGAAGATACAGTATATAATAAGAAATTTTCTGCAATTACGATGAAAATTATTGAAATCGCTTTGTTGTGTGGTCAGAACACATGGAAAAATAGTTTTGAGTATCCGAAACCTATTTTTTTCGAAGTTACAAAGCAAAAAAGTGCGAAAATCGCCATTACAAAATTAAATTTTACAGCAGTATTGACATTGATATTTTTTAATACAAATTCCTCAAAATTTGAAATTTGATACCTCTTATGAGGATCTTGAAGAATGGGCAACAATTTTTCTCTAACATTAAAAAAATTTCAAATATGTTTTTTCATTAATGGCATACGATGAATAAAATAATTTGATGGGTTGAAATAAAAACAAGAAGACCATTGCCAAATTAAAATCCTTCATTTGATCATTAGGTACCAAACGCTGAAGCGAGACTAATGAACTTGTATCTCTTGACAGGTGCCAATCTTCTGTGGAACAATTTGCTGGAGCCAGTTGGCAACAAGACTGATAGTGGTTTGCCACGTATCTTCGAGAGACTACTTTGTCCAAGCACCCGTAGCCCTTACATTTTTACCAACTTAAACTCAAGGCATTTTCTTCGTACTGGAAGCCAAGAGATTGCAGCAGCCAGTTGAGTACGCCGAGATAAAAATACATTTTAAAGTTGTGAAGTGATTGTAAAAACATTATTACCATTTTCATCTAAACCCACTCAGACAATCTATTTTTTAATTTCTCTCTTTCTATTTTTAATTCCTTCAAAGAACATTCTATTCATTTCCACTCATGGGTGCTCAATGCTCAGACTAGGCTATAATCCGTTTTCTTCATCTGTATTTCTTTCATAATTTTTTTCATAAGTGACAAGAACATTGCAACTGCAGAAAGTGATACGGTGTTTTTTCGAGGCTACTTTGTATTGGATATTTTATTCAGATTAGATTCGAATCATACTGTTTTCATTTGAAGATCGGGAAGTCATTTCTAGTGATTTGATTTTATTGAGTTATACTTGTGACGTGTATAGGTATTTATTTTATGTTATGTCATGTAAATTTAGACCATTTTTCAAAAATTTGGTTAGATTATGTATAACAAAGATTTTTTATCATTATAAGGATATAGACGGTTGAAAAGAGTTATTAAATGGTTGAGTTTGTGTGTATGTATTATTTTTGATGAACTATTAAATAGATTTTGATAAACGAAGTGTTTTTTTTCCGTTCAAAGCAACAGTATGAAAAAATTAATGGAATATAATCCATTTCCATGGGTCTTTTATGTAACAATTGTACGGTTCTACCTTTAGAAACTGTAAAACTTTAATAAATTGTGTATAAATCATAATTAGGACAATTTTTCTTTATAAAGCAAACAAATGCAGCTGTATAAACAGTATAGAAAAAAAAAGGTAGGACTGAAAGCAGAAGGATCAAACATCGTTTAAGATTAATTATTAGAAGTATTTACGTGGGATCTAGTGAAAGTTATACTCTATAGCTAGTTACAAAGTTCTACTGTTTGTCTGTGAAATTATGAAAGTAATAAATTACAGATAATACTTCTTCTTTGTTCTAATCATGTAAATTAAGAACATTTGTGCTTGTTATGTATCAAGTCTAATAATTAAATGACAAACATAACTAGCAGGCTGAAACAGTTTAAAAAGGGGGGGGGGGGTACAAAAGCTTATTTAATATCCTTTGAAGTAACGATAGAACTAACTATAATTGAACGCAATAATGTTACCAAATTTTTTGCAAAAATAGTAGTATCTTCTATGACTTTTCTGGTAGTATAACCGTTCTTATTGTCCCGGTATTTTGCAACACGACGGGATTCACTTATATTGACAACAGGCCACGGCAACCTCATGTGCCTGAAATTTCAGGTTATTTTTTACAGTGCAATTGTGCTTGCCCAACAATTATTGCTCTTATTAAAAAAACAAAGTAGATAAATTTGTTACTCTCCGAAGATGTTGATTTGTCTCATTTGTTGTACTCCATGCAAATGTTTGCTCATTTTAGAACTATTAAACTAATTATTTAATAATAAAAAATTTTTAAGTTACTTTGTATTAGTAGCGATGCCTACTTTACTAATAACTACTGTTATTACATCTAACAAAACGCTTAAAACTTATTTTATTACTATGCTTAACAAGGTAAACAGTCGAGTTGCTTAGGGCTGAAAATTACTTGCCTAATAATTAGCTTGATTATATTTAAATAAATAGGTCCTTGGATTGCTAAGCAGTGGTTCTTGCTTGCCTAATAATTAATTTTTGTATGCCCCATAAAATGGAAGTTTGAGCTCTTTAGCGCCGATGCTTGCTTGCCTAATAATTACATAGATTAAGCTTAATAAAATAAGTCTTTGGGTTGCTTAGCACTGATGCTAGCTCGCCTAACGATTATTTTTGGTATGCCCAAATAAAAGATGGATAGTTGAATTGCTTTGCACTAATGTTTACTCAATTAAGAGTCATAAACTATTTTATGTAAAAAAATAAACACTTGGTGCAATGAATACTTTTTCACTATTAAGAGAAATATTAATAAAGCTACTTGGCGCTGATACTTGCTCTTGTAATAATTATTATTCTGATTGAGCAATTGAGAAAAATGACTGTCAAGGCGTCCCCTGTGCTTCCATGCAATACATACTTATTATATACACACGTGTTTGACGGTGCTTTCCGAATGGAGATAGTGTTATACATTACTGAATGAGAAGTTCTAGTCTTTTACGGAACCAACTAAGTAGTATTTATTTTTAGCCGTCTTGATTCTATGCTTACTGTGTAAAAAAAACATTTTTTTTATTCTTATTTACAACTTACTCAACATAAATAATAAATCTTTATTGAGATATCGTAATAAAAAGGGTCGATTCTTATAATTAAAATAATTTTTTTTTTTACTTACGCTGATAGGAAAAATTGTCTTAGTGAAAAATTGTTAAGCATGTTATAATTATTTACGGTATGAATGATTTTGACATGCGCGAGTTTGTATGCCGTTCCAAATAATTTTTGATAGAATTGTTATAAAAATCGTATGAGAATCAAAATTTTATTCACGCGTTTCAGTCACATATATATGCTCTCTATTTTACTTGAAATGATTTTAAGTTTAAATTAATCGTTGTTTAATCATGAAGAGTGGTTGAAAATATTATTTATATCGTATATAGTCGACATAATAACGATTTACAGTATTATAGTAATAAATTATAGGTTTTTATGATGATTTTATGTGATTTAAGATTTAGCAGTAATTTAATCTTGATTAAAATTATTAACACCACGTGGAAAAATTGTGCTATCGATTTCATAAAAACCTGAAGTAGGTTGGTTTTATTCTAAAAATGGAAAGCAATAACAAACTCACTACGAGTGAGGCTTTTTTCGGCTTTTTCGACGATGCCCAACTGAAACAGCCAGCCTTGGGCCAGTTGCAGCTGCATCAGTGCAGAGGCCGATTTTCCATCTGCCCGCTTTCGTTACACGAGTATCTTTCATCCAGCTAAAATATTTTTAACACTCCGCTACACGTTCACCTGAAATATATTATTTTTTCTCTTTTTAAAAATTTACTAATTTTCACAACTACAAAGTATTGTATATATTTTGTTTGGAAAATTTCGTAGTTATAATAGACTCGTAAGGTGTTTGTAGTCAATGAAACACTTGCATAGAACAGCCATTATAAAACTTATATTTTGGAAAGTACTTGAAAAACATGTAATGAAAAATGAAGTACAACAATTTTTATAAACTTTATTGTAGGGCCACAGTTGATAAATATTTATAATAAATACTCAAGTCTATATCGTTAAGACGATTGTTATAGACTGTTGGTCACCTTAAACGAATAACGTAAGTGTCGAACATGTATGTATTTCTATATGTATATAAATATAAACAATAAATGTACGTTTCTTGCAAATATAGATAACGTGTGTACGTATTTAAAAGAGATTACTTATAAAAACTTGATATATGTTAGTAAGAAATAAGGGATCCTCTTTTTTATTTATTATTTGTGTAGTAAAGTGTATGTGTAGCATTTCTGATATTAATCTTTTTTGTCCATTTGGTTCATGATCTAGAATTTTGGTTTGAGAAAAATTAAAGTTATGGTTGAATTTTTTCATGTGTGAAGCAACAACAAGTTCATCTTTCTTTGTACTTTTGTGTTCGTTCAGGCGTTTTTCAATGCTCTCTTTGTCTTACCTACTTATGATGCAGAGCAAAAGCCACAAAAAAAATGATACACGACATTGGTTTGATCGAGCTTATCAATTTTATCCTTTCCAAGAATGATAACACTGTCCAATTTGTTTTGAATAGTAGGGTCGAATTGTACATTTAATTTTTTCAAAGTTTTTGAACAAAATAAAAAAAATAATGGGTTGTACGGGATAGAAATTTTTATTTTAGCACTTAGATTGTCATTTAGTAAAAAGTTAGTAATAAGTTATTCTGTGGAAGGATTTATCAGATAAAAGAATGGCTCGATCAACCAAACCGTATACATCATTGACTTTTAACGATCGGGGATAGTTAGAATTAAAATTAATTATTCTATTGGATGAAATTGGCTTAACATACTAGTTCGTGGTTATTCTCAAATTTTTATGCGTAATTGTAATGTCTAAGAAATTTATAGAATTGTTTTTCTCTCTTCGCAAGTAAATTTTAAGTGATTGTCTTGTTCATTAAAAATCTGTAAAAATAGTTATGCCTGATCTTTGTGTACGCATAGGAGAGTGTCATCGACGTATCTTTTATATATAAAAAGAACGCTTTGTTAATAAAGTGAGTCTGATGAGGTTAGCGTTAAGACAAACGAAACGTTGCTCAAAATAACACCTGTTTTTTTGGAGTTTTCATTCATACTCCCAAACTAGCTCTTACTGATTGTGTGCTTAGGCCCTGACCCTTAAGTGATCAAGGAAAAGAAATGTCAAATTCCAAAATCAAATGTTTACTTGCTTGCACATAGACAGCGGGTGCAGTTAGGCTGCGGTAATACAGCGCAAGGTACAGAAGTTAATGTCCAGTTACATCATTAGAGCCGTCCTGATTACTTCGGTAAAAATGCAGTAAATTAAAAATAACAAAAGGAATTTTTTTCTGACCACCCTCATCATCATTAATTGAAGATACATTGAATTAATCTTGTGTTTACAATATGCAAATTTTATAAGTGTTATCATTTCAGTTTAATTTTTTGATCCTTTGAGATTTATAAAATTTGATTTGTATGTTAAATAGCACAAGTTTTTATATTGTAAGCAAAACCTACTTTAATTTTATGAATGTTATTAATTCACTGGTTATAATTACTTTGAAAGACGAGCAAATACACACCAGCCTCTTGTGATAGAATATGATATTTTGTCTTTTTATAGTGCATGTCATACTTACATACAGCAGAAATACAGAAACTCTACGGCTAGGCTTCTTGAGACTTGGTATTTAGTTTATTTATAACATGAGTTATAACACATCGTTTTTTTAAAAGGATTAATCGTTTCGTTTAGAAGTTATCAATGATTCGTTTCGAGTCCTACCCCAAACCAGGCACTTTCCTATCACTCACGTGTTAAAAGATCAACAGTAAAACTTTACATCTCCGAAACTACACGGCTAGGCATCTCCAAATTTGGACTCGTGATGAACTATAGCAAACTTAAGCCACACGCGAAATTTTAGAAAAATTTATCGTCTAGTCGTTGTACTGAACTACTACCTTAAAAGCTGTTTGCCCTAAAAAACTAATTCCAACGGGATTTGCTTCATAAAAATTTGCTCTTGTTCTCGGGAAATTCTACCGTTACACATCAATCTCTATAAAACAAGTTCTATATTTTTTCTATAAATTATCGCCATAAATGTTTTCATAAATTGAGAACCACGAAAAAATTTCTCGTAAATAAATAGGAAGCATAATAGTGCTAGCTTCAATGACAGTTTCATCGATTTAAGTATTATTCTTAAATAAACCCATAGCAATGGCAGTATCTTAAAGCACTTTATGTTTCCTATGGTTGTGTTTTTTTAATCTATGAATAATGTTTCCATTTATAAGTGCTTATTATTTACGCAGCTTATCGTATACGTTTATTGTTTTTTTCTTGTTACGTTTATAGATTTTTCAAAACATAAGGTTATTATTGAAAGTATAGTCTTTAGATATGCACTATAAACTCGTACAGTAATAAACTCGCCCAAAAAGTAAATTAATTAGAAACAAGAAAGAAAGGATCGTTAACTTGGGTTCCGACGTTAAAAGCAGAAGCCTCATTATTGTCATCACCACGAGTGCTTTCGTGTAGGATTAGGAACATCGTTGCGGTCAACCTTGTAAGATCTTGTGACAGCGTGCGCGCAAGCAGCGGTTAACCAACGATCATAGAAAGTCAAGACAAACTATAAATTATATAAACATTTTTAATGCGAATCTGAAATTTTATAATTTATACTATTTGTAAAATCAACTATTTTCGGCTTTTCTAAGTTTATTGAATCGTCAGATAAGACTTAACTAGGTTGTTGATTAAATTTACTTTTTTAATTCAAAAAAATCCTAATTACTAAATTATATGAAATATTCCAAGATTCCAAATTCTAATTGATAAAAACATAATTCTTACCTTAATGAATAAATTGAATATCGAGAAAAAATTAAAGAGACAACGTATGACAAAGACCTTTACACGGACATGAGATAAAAAGACGAAAAAGATATGCAACTACTGCATTACATAAAATGTAAATTCAAGCAGTAGGCCAACGCCAGTTCACGTACGACACACTAACACCACATCATACATATCACTCAGCAAAACCTAACGCCACAACGCTGAGTCAACGGTTCAAAAGAAAAGTATACTATAAGTAAAAGTAAATAAGGCCTTTGGGCCGACGGCTGGTTTCTGACGAACAAAAATTAAATTTATCTGTTTGTAGAACAAATCTACGAGTTCCGCTCTTCACTTATAGAGGTTTGGACGTAATAAACTGGTAGATGTCATGGGCCAAGTTGTTCGTCGTGAAGCCGGAAACTCCAGCCACCGACGATCCTGCATTGCTTTCTTGATTCTAAGCTTTCAACCAGAAATCACCGATCTGCTCTGAGGTCTGCGCTAAGCAAACCTCACAGTGAAGCTATAAAAAAAAACTAAACTCAAGAAAATGGAACAGTCTCCAACAGGCAAGTGCCACGAATCAATCTCCCAACTTCGTATCACCAAAGCGGCTGACCGCTGTAATAAAAAAAGGCGATTAAAAGACTGAATAGTTTGAAAATAAGAGCTTGCACGAGATTAAGATTTAAAAAAAAAGATCATATTTTAATTATAACTGGTGATACAATTAAACAGTAATTGTGCAAACCATCAATAACTAAATAGAACGCTTTGCAAAATTTTTTTGATCTTCAGGAAAGACATGAGCTTCTTGATTACAAGCACTTCTTTCTCCTCCTTGCTAAAATCTAATGTGTCTAAGCCGTTTTTGAAAGTAATTTAGATTTTGTCCTTAAACGAAACTAATCGATGAGAAAGATATTACTGTAAAAAAAGTGACTTAAAAAAAAATTTTATTAATAAATTCCTAGAAGACAAAGATTTAATCACGCATTTTGGTGGTCTATGAGAGGCTACAGTTTAGCTTTTTAAGCATCATTTGAACGGAGTCGTTGGTAAAAAACTGCCTACTTTTGAGAAATACAGTACATTCGCTACTGAAGTCAAAGGCATTTTAAATTCTCGGCCTATTTGTTCTCTGTCATCCGATTCAAACGATCCACAAGTTCTTACTCCATCACATTTATTAATAGGTATAGGCCTATTACTCTGTTGCCCACTTATGACTTTGCTGGCATTACGGAAAATCGTTTGTCCTCTTGGAACTTTGTTTCAAGAGCAAGAGGAGATTTTTGAAAGCGATGGTATGTCGAGTACTTAAGGTGGCTCCAGCGCCTAGTGCCGTATCAAAATGGGGAGACTAAAAATTAATCATTATTTTCTTTAAAATATGATATAAAATTATCGTAGAGACTGTTGTAAGCCATATTCTACATTTTATCTGTTACATTAGTGAGTTAATATAAAAAAACAAAAAAGTTTTATGGTGCCCTAATTGATGAACTGTTACGGTACGCTCCTAAGTTCAAGAGTAGTTATACCTATATATATGTACTCTGCAGAATGCAGACAGCTGAGAGCTGACTTGCACTCGCAACTGTATACTTAGTCTCCGATTATTTAAAGATTTTGTTCGATAACAAGACACTTTTCTCATGTCATCGAAAACTGCGTAATAATATATACAAGATAGTATATTTTTTACACCTTATGGGTTATTTATATAAGTGCAGCAGTAGGTTGTATATCGCGTAAGCTTGCATTTCCTATCCAACCCGTCTTAAAACTACGATTTTTTAAGCATCATTTCTTATAATTTTCATCGTCAACCTTAATTTTTTTTTATACGAATAAAAAAATGGGAATTCAAAGAATATAATTTAATTTTATTACCCTTGGTTGGGTTATTTATAATTTTAACATTGAGGCCACTGGAGCCACCTTAAATAAGCTTCAGAAAATACAGAAGTGGCAGGGAGGAAAAGGAGAGATCAAATTAAATTTAGTTGTATTTCTGATAGAAAAAAAGATTTTCTGCGATGATTAGAGGCTGGGCGTAGATGTTCAGGTTCACCCTAGAGACGATAGCAGAGAACTAATCTCCGACGATGGTGTAGTGCGTGTGGCTTCAAAAAAAAAAAAAAATTAAATTAAATTTATAAGCGAATTATTACGAATCTTCGTCCATTAAAAGACAAAAGAGTTACAAAATCTTGACATAATTTTTCACAAGTTTTTTTTTGCATTAAGAGTGAACTTTTGTTTTAATTGTTCCAATATCTTTTTTTGAGCAAAAGATATCTCTGCTGACTATGAGTGCATAAAAAAAATTTTTTGGTGCCTTGATTGTAAAATTTACTGATTTCCTCAGAGACGTATATCATTGATCAAACTAGGTTAGAAAAAAAGTGTATACAAATTAATTGTCTCGTAGAATTGAAAAAAAAAAATAAATAATCCTAAAAAATTTTGAAACTTTTCCGACCTCGGGCGTTTTTAAGTATTTGGTGTGCCCTCGGTAGGAAAAATAGGATTTGCCACATAAGTGCCATCTCTCCGTAGCAACCTTATGTTTCTTAGGCCCAAAAATGGCCCCAGAGACGATGGCACTTATCTCGCGAAAGCTACTACTTTTTTAGTACACTAGTTCTAGCAAACTACACTTCACATGTAGGATTTTGTTGCATGACAAACTCCCCACGTGGAATTGGTGAGCAAAATTTCTACTTTGGACTTTGTATAATTTATGAATTGTGAAAAATTTAAAAGTTTTTGTTTGCCCATAGGCTATGTATAGCAAAAAAAATCAGTAATGGCTTAAGTTTAGAAAAACTGTAGATATGTTCTCTTTGTACTAACAAGGATTTATAACGTTCGTTCCGTGCACAAACTGCAAAAGTTGAAACTTGGATACTCACATCCAGTTTCAAATACATGTATTCACTGGCATTAGCACTAAAGTTAAGGATATGGCGCGAATGTCGATAATTGCATGTATTTTCTAAATGATTCGAGTATCAAAGTTCTAATTTTTGCCATTTGTGCACAAAGTAAATACGGAAATTTATTTTATTTCTAACAATACTATATTTGACCGTTTACCTGATCTTCACGAGAACAGTAGTAGATAAACTGTTACAAATAATGAATATGTACAAATAAATATACTATTGATCATATAGCCCCAATTTTTAAATCATGAAATTTCTTACAAAAACGTTACTCTTACTTGTTCCGCCACCCCTACAAAAATACAGAAGGCACACCGTTAATCTATTCTAGTCTGATATGCAAGCTTGATATAAACCATATTCAATATGTTGTTCTACAAGAGTTTTTGTAGTTAATAGGTATATTTATAAGAATTTTATTACACAAATGTTGCTTGAAAAAGAAGAAGAAAAGCAGAAAGAGAAGGCGTATTCGTTGAGAATTGACACATTTTCTTTATCCATCTCAATCAAATTTTACTAATGCCAAAAGTTCACTTGTAACTTACATTAAAGCAGTCGATTGTTAAAGTAATCGTATTCAGGTTTTAATTCGATCTTTTTTTTTTACAAGTACCCTCCGCATGTTTAAAACTACTAGTTCGGCAATGCTTCGTTCATCCAGACTTGAGGTTCTGTCAAATTAGAACATATTCGCTACTCTGATATGACAGACAGATTCCAGTCAGTTTAATTTAAAAATATTTTGTACATTCTGTACACAAGTTGTGAAATAATAGCCTTTTGGAATTCGTTTTTTCTAAATAAAAAAAAAAATTTAACAACATATCTTTTTATTCATTCTATTATACACTTGTTGACATGTCACTTAGAAAATAAAAAATTATTACTAATTATAATATTTTTTTAACAAATAACAATCTGATTTTTCTTCATTTAAATAACCGTATTTGCCGACTTGCTTGATTGTCCTGTTTAAGTCCTTGGAGAGTCCACAGTTATAAAAAAATTACACATTTCGTTGTAAAACTCATCCTGGTTAAAAATTTCACTACTGGGTGATTCAATAATAAAATCCACCAGTGGGTCGTCATAAACCGTACATGTAAAACTGTCAAAAAATGCGTCCAGCAGCGATCGTTTCTTCTGTGGTGGACGTAGCGTTGATTGGGGTTGCTGGTGCTGCTGTTGTCTTAGTTGCGAGAGAAGTTGCTGCTGGGACTGTTGCGTTTGCTGTTGCACTTGAAGTTGTTGGTCTTGTTCAAGCACCTTCACTTGGCAACTATAGTTGGAGCCGTTGACCCGATTTCCTCCGAAGCTGCGATGAAGAAAGAAAACAATTCTAATCTTAGACTAAATCATTCATAAATAAAATAATGTCATGAGGTTCAAAGCGCAAAAAATTATGTTAATTTAAAATTTGTCACTTCAGTGATTTTTTCTTCAAGAAATTTAAAAATTAAATAAACAACAAAGTTTTGTTTTACCTAGAGTAATGAGCAGCAACAGAAAAATTATGGTACACTGTGTCGGTCGAAGTTGAAGGCACTACTTTTGAGCTGGCTTTTGAGCTTGCTAGGTAAGACATCTGCTTTGCAACTTCAAGTTGTTGTGCAGCTAAGTCACATGAACGCAAAAATGGTCGCTGCTGGATTTCAGGGTACAGTTGTTGCTGACGGACCTATGGCGGCTGGACCTGCAGGGATTCGTAGCTGCTGGTAGATTCTACTAGACCCAGCATATTATGGGCTCTCCGTGCTTTTTTTACGATGTTACCGCTATCAGGGCAATATCTACTTTCCTTTTTCAATTTCATTCGGCGATTTTGGAACCATACAGTAACTTGGTTTTCCGTGAGACCCATCTCTTCCACCAATTGTAGTCGACCAGCCAGAGACAAGTAATTATCCATGTTGAATACTCTTTCGAGCTCCACAATTTGCGCTGAGCTATACGACGTCCTCTTTCGTTTCTGACTCAGTAGATCTGGATAATGTGAAGACACGTATTACATTGGATGCATTTGAATATTTTTAAATATAATTATTTGGTGAATGAAATACTTACTTTTCTCCATCTGGTNGATTACAAAAACATTTCATTTTAAATCTATTTACTTTAATAAAACTATTTTTATCGCAACAAGATTATGAAAGTATTACTTTGAGCCAAGGGATGCCAAAAAAACATTTTGGATTGTCCAGAAGCACATAAAATATCTTGCAGTTATATCTGTTTCTTTTAGAATAGATGACACATTTATGTTTATACGTAAGTGTTTAATAAAACGAAGGCACTCTTGATATCAATAGACTAGAAACATCCTATCGACGGCTCTTACGAAAAATAACGAAACTCAGAATTTTCAATGTCATTTTAAATAGGAAAATTTATGTTCCGTTGTTTTTCGTAAGAGCTGTCGCTTTAAATCAATACAGTATATCATTCATTCCTACTGTTTTTATGTATCTGTCAAATTACAGGTTTAACTTAACAGTTGAAATAAAAAATAAAAAAACTTTTAAAATACAATCCCGTTAAATGCAACTTGTGACGGTCACACAAATCACACTTATCTCGTTCAGCTTACAATTTTGATATGTTGTACATAGAGAGATGGGCAGTATTTGACAGAGTTGAAATACTCTGATATACTTCATTTCACCTTCACCCAGATGCGAAAGTGCCCCTCCGCTCTTCCCTTTGAGAGCGGGCCTCCGAAATTTTTCGTTATTTTTCTTCTTCCCTCTTCTCTTATGCCCTTTTGTCTTCTAGAATAGTGGTCCTACGGACCTGTCCCATGCAAGGAGGTTAGTTTTTGGTCGGTAGTCACACCAGGTGAATCCGACACTACCGCCGAAATAGCCGAGGGGACCCTGAAGATTTTCCCCTCCTCGCTCCTTCGAAAAAAAAAAAACTTTATTTCAGCTTAAATTGAAGCTATTCGAAAACTTAATTAATTCATTTAAATAAAATATCTAAACTAAATACTGTATTTATAGTTAAATTAAAAAAAGTAATCCGAATAAAATGCTTAAATAACTATATTTTCTGACTCAGTAGATCTGGATAATGTGAAGACACGTATTACATTGGATGCATTTGAATATTTTTAAATATAATTATTTGGTGAATGAAATACTTACTTTTCTCCATCTGGTTTTGAGGCCTTCTCTCTTGAGCGGCATTGATCACTTCTTTATACTGCAATTCCATTTTTTCTGCAGAAATAATTGTATTTTCTGCTTTTCGTAAATTACTCTAATGTCGCTTCAGCAAAGGCTTCGACGAGAACTTCTGCAATATATTTGCACACAGGATGAAAGGATATTGTGAAAAAGTTCGGTTGAATCTGAGACACACACTGGACTTCTGCACCAAGGTTAAGGCTTTATATCCCTTTTGCGGTACTTACTGACTGAGGGGCCTCACGCCCTTGTTTCTTATCAATGAGTTAAAAAGCTATTAGAAACCTATTAAATAGGCCATCCCAAATGTTAATGACTAACTCGTGCTGAGGCTAGGAGTTTTTCTTGGTACACATGCTGATTACTGTATGAGTAATGGTACAAATACATTATCGTTGGACTGCATCGATTTCGTTTTTATGATTTCGATTGTATGCGTTACTTTTTTTGACGAATCCTGAAATTTAAAGTTACTAATAATGGAACAAAAACAATAATAGTACTAAAATTCTTTAAGTAATTTACACTGAAACGTGTTTTTAAATTGCTGAATTTTACTCCTTTATGTTACTATGTTCAGGTCAACACATCTACTTTTAAATTAGCAAAACAATTCCATATTATCGATACTTTTTATAAAACAAATATCCCTTATGTTAGTAACTTCACCTGATTTCATTTTCTATTGAAAACATTTTTACATAGCTGTGCATTTAACTTTTTAGTACTGTAAAACCGTAAGTAACATGTACACTTTAACATTTGTAGTTGGTTGTGTGACTTTTTTGGCCATTTTTTCTAGAATCTCCTTTACCCTTACAGCTCCTACTGACCACTCTATTGTTGGAATTTTTTTATTGGCACATCACAATTGGCGCTCAAGCAAAGTGTGCAGGGGAGCCTAAATACTATTAAGCTCGTAAGAAAGTTGCTTTCGTTAGTATCGAAGTTATTTATTTTTAAAAATTCTGAATACACAAAAAAATCTTTTATTAAAGAAACTCTTAGCTAAATATTTTATTACACAGTTATTGAATAATAAGATGCTTTCTATAGGTATTGTTCTTCGTGTTACTTTATTTCTAATGTTACAATTTTTATTTTTTCAGATAAAGAATGTATTGATTTTTTATGGATATTGAAAATTACATAAGTGCAAGATCCCAACCAATTTTTCAATGTAAAAGTTCTTTACATTAAAAGAGTAAAAGTAAATGACATTTTTTTAAAAGAATTAATCTTTAAAATTACCATTTGTATTGAAAAGAAAACAGAGCTTTAAAACATACTTGAAAAAAAAAGATAATCTAGAATAAACTGATGTGTAGTGCAAAGTTTCTAATTACTGTGACTTTACGGAATATATATCAATGTCAATTTATCTGAGCTTTAAATTCGAAACATTAAAATCTCATAAATTGCATATAGATAATACAGTTATTTTCGGATGAGTCTAAATCCCGAGTCATTAGAAAGTAAAGTAGATCAGTTCTTGACTATTAACACGTAATTAGGGGATTAAAAGCGAAACATACAACTTACTTATGATAACAAAAAATCCTTTCTTTTGGATCTCTTTGGCATTTTTTTATTTACTACGCATATTAATTATATAAGTTAACTAGCGCTAAGTAGATTTTCTTTAAAGCTATGAGAAATATACGGTAATATATGCAGAAACGAAAGAGGACGTCGTATAGCTCAGCGCAAATTGTGGAGCTCGAAAGAGTATTCAACATGGATAATTACTTGTCTCTGGCTGGTCGACTACAATTGGCGGAAGAGATGGGTCTCACGGAAAACCAAGTTACTGTATGGTTCCAAAATCGCCGAATGAAATTGAAAAAGGAAAGTAGACGATTAATTTGTATACACTTTTTTTCTAACCTAGTTTGATCAATGATATACGTCTCTGAGGGAATCAGTAAATTTTACAATCAAGGCACCAAAAAATTTTTTTTATGCACTTATCGTCAGCAGAGATATCTGTTACAAAAATTTTAGCTTACTGTGTACCACAACTTTTGCAAAAAATGGCACTTCTAATTTTAAGCCATTAAAAAAAATCTTTATTAGCAGAGCTTATTTTTTGCAATTTTCTTCCGGACAACTAATCCAATAATATTTATATTATAAAAATGCCTAGGACAAATATATCGGCAATCCCATGGCTTGCCCAATGGTTTGAATGAGGCTTAAGTTTTGTGTGATGTGCTTTGAAAGGGTAGAAAAATTCAATGTCAGTTAATTAGTAATTAGTAAACATTAGAAATAGTTGATATGTGATTAACTTTTTCATAGTATTATCAGCAGCTTTTTATTGTTTTGGACAAAATGATATTTCCAAGAGTTGCTAAGAGTATAAAGATAAAAAATTACTGTTAGTTGTGAGCCATGGTAGGTACAAACAGGCTTTTTGAGGAGAAATATGAGGGTTAGTTAATCATCTTTGCTTTAAAATCTTTTTTTAGCGTGATGATATAAGTTTAAGCATTGAAATTAACGATCATGTAATGTGATAAGTTCAATTTAAGACCTTATCACGATCTACAGCTAATTAAAATGAAATCTTAAAATTTGAGTCTATGAAACACTCATAACTTATAATTAACTACTGTTTATTACAGCTTTGTCTATTTTCATAGCACTGTTTTCTAAGCACAACAATAACTTGTGCACGTTGTCATCAGAAAAATTGCATTTAGAAATTTGAAGCAACTATGAGCAATAATAATCTTCTAACTTACTATTACTTCGTTTATAAAAGCAATACAGCAAGGTTACTGTTTGTTGTTTTTTTCTTGAGATAATATTACGACTGTTACTTCGAAACAATTGAAACAATCAATTTAGGTGTCAACACGACGATAATTTTAATAATATGGCATACCATAGAGAAGATAGAGCCCTAATGTACGTATAAATTTAATATACAACTACATTTATACAAATCTTTCGGTTTCATATAGTTACTCAGATGATGATTTACATAACTCTGCCTCCTTTACAAAATAGGAAGCAATTCAATTATTTTTTTGGTGTTTGATCTTAATTAAATTATACCTGCAGCCTAGGTAAGCCCCCGTTAATTTCCCTATATAATTTTTAGAGCCCCCTGTGGATGTTGCATCCCCACTATAAAATAACAGAAAATGCCGTAGATTTGTCCATTATTATAATTTAATGTAACTTTCCGTTATTTTTCTTTGCATCCTCCTCTGCGTGGCTCTCACAGCTGTCAAAAGCCCACACCCTCCGTTGTCGCTATCCACTTTATTCAGAACATTCGCTGCTGCCACTCTGATACCCCGTCTACATTTAGGAAAAGTTTGATAGACCTGGCTGTTATAAGAAATCAAAAATATTCTGCGTTATTTCCCTTTCCCCTTACCCATTGCAACGTATTTAAAACCCCTGTTGTCTCTCTGCTGTACATACCTAGTTATCTATCATTTCAGCTGAGAGCGGGCAAATTGCTTTGTATTTTATCAATATATTTTTTTTTTTTTTCAAAAATGAGTCTTTCTTCTACCTATCTTTTTTTTGTATACGTACTACTCAAAAACAATTATTAAATGTGTTATAATAATGTTTTTTAATACTTACGCGAAGTAATCACGTTTAAAAAATCAGTTTCGATAAAAAAACTAAGATCATAGATTTATTTGTACCAATTATCAAGCCAGATAGTGGCTTTACCAACGAGATGGCTAGTAGGTATTATTTTCTTTTGGAAGGAAGCCCTGAGGTCCACATATCGTTTTTAAAAATCCACAAATCACCTTAAAAATCGGACGAGTAGTTTTGACGGTGTTGTTGCACAAACCGTCAGCTATATCTAAATTTCGTATTGACATGAATTTTACTGCCACATAATGATTTAGCTCAT